GCATAAAATTATTATGTGTAGATTATCAAATTAAAAATAAATGTACCTTTAAAAATCCAACAACAAACGAGATGCACGTCACACTATAAATACTCATAAATTCTCTTTAAAGCATTGGATTCCTCTTTGTCTATAATGTTTTTAGGCAGTTTACTTCCAGACATTTATTCATACTCTATTATTCATTCTTACGGTCTTGTTTGTAAAAACAGATGATATATATAGAGATATAGATTGAGACATATATACATAGATGTATTTAAAGAAACATATCAAGGAGCACCTATATAAATAAATTCATGCACAACGATATCAAGATAAATATTTGTGTCTTAAGACAATTGACTATTTTTCTATGGGAATTTAATTTCTATGGGAATTAAAGCATGCTCTTGAGAAAACTCAACTTTTTATGGAGAAAAACACAACAGCACTATTTGGACAGGCTGCCAAAACTACGTTATATTTAGCATGGAGCAAAAAGAACAAATCCAGCGCCCAGCACACACATGGATTCCTTACACTTATTCCCCATTTCTGCTTAACAAATATCAGATTATAGAACAACATTTATATAGCAACTTGCCTCAAAAGTGTTACCCAGATGAAGAATCAAATACATCACAGGGTACACATAATTTGGCTGATTTGATTTTAAAAATAATTTTTTAAACCGAAGCTTCACTTGTGGACCTCATGCAACACGGACACCCTTGGTGGCCAGAGAAACATGAACTAGTGTGAGCAGCCAGGTTTTTGGAAATGAAGTAGTATTTCTCTTGCTCATTGAGGGTGTTTTCTGCAAATTCATATGCTGTCATGAAAACAAATGCTTTTTTTTTTGTGGATTCATCCACTATAATCTAAGAGTAAGATTACTAGTTAAATAAATAACCTGATAGAACAGGAGCAGACTCCTTTTTTTCTCCTCCCAGTTCCTCACTTTCCAAATCTCTCTCAGAAAAGAACAGAAAGGAAGAGGCAGAGACACATACATAACTTGCCAGGTCCCTTCTTGTAAGGATAATAACATGGTTCAAATCATGAGGGTATTTTGAAACGCTGCATTTGCAGTACATTGTGAAATCTAAAGATAGCACTGCACAAAGAAATCAATATTTTTATAAATCCAACTGTGTTAACACAGGCTGTGATAGTCAAGCGGTGCTTTTCAACAAGGGTTTTTCATGCACACACAGACCTTCACCGACACCATTATAGCCCTGTTCTCTTCAGATTATTTCTCTCTAGCTCGGTGCAGTAATGTCAATGTTTCTAGGATCACACAGAGAACTTGTAAGCATTTTCAGTTTTGCAGATCATGAATGATTTTCCAGTAAAGATATATCCTCTACATAGGGTTTTTATCTAATGTAAATGGACTGCAGTCTAAGAAAAATAGATTTTCTTAGACTGCAGTCAAACGGGGTGTCAAGAGTACTTGAGATTGTTTGAGCAGCTTCCCATCTTTGTTTTTTCCTACCTCTGCACTGCACCCCCACATTTTGCCACTTCCAATACTTGTGCAAGTTGAACAGAATCAAAGAAACTGAGCTGGCTGAAAAACAGGGTAGAGGGGAGGTACTAGGAAAGGTTATTTTCCGGGAGGATCAGTTTTGCAGTTCACTGTCCAGCTGCACAACCAACCCTGCCAGCTGACTGCAGTGAAGGGTCAGGGCCTGGGGGGAGCGGGGTGGGGGGCAGAGCCTGCCGAACCAAGCAGTGCTGGCACCAGGGAAGCCCCAGTACCTTTTGCAGAAACCCCAGCAATAATCCACTTAATTTGATGGGACAAAATTTTGGTGATCTTCAGTCTTTGATAGAGAATGTGCTCGGTAGTTATTTAGCAGGAGAACAGCACTCGGTTCACTCTTTCCCGAGCTGCATGGATTCAAAGAGAGGACAGGGCAGTAAAACTCTATTTCTGCTAGAAGGACAAACGTTTTGAGCACAAATTGATGGAATATTCATCTATTTAGAAAGGGCTGTTTTTACAGTCATTCTTTAGAATGGAGCTTACTTCTAAAAAAGACCGAAATACATGTTTTTACTACAGGTAAAAATAGAGCCATGTAATATTTACATCATTTAGCCACTGAATGTCACTGACATTTCTTTCCTCAACCGCCTGCTAGCACATCTCCCCCTCTGCAAAAAAAGCTGCAAGTAACATATGCGCACTAAGCCCAAGTATTCCTAGAGTTACAGAACTTGTCACTCTTAAGTCACCAACTTCATTCTGTTAACCATCTATTTTTTTGTTGTTGTGTAGATCTATGTATCTACTTCTCCTAGGCTGGAACAAAGAGCCATTTCCCTTTCACTCTAGCTATTCTCCAGACATTTGTATAAATACAAAAAGAAGCTGTGAATTCTTAATTAGAACAACATGTATATGCTCATCACGACATGTTGATATCATTAGCCTGATAATACTGAAGACCCCTTGGAACTGTAACTTCCAATGAGCATAAAATATTGATATTATCCCAAACAATCATTATTTCTTATTTAGCTTATAAAGGATCATTAGTTCACTGACGTAATGGCAGCTTATTAGTCTGTCTTGGGACAGCAGTCTACCTGCTTCAGAACCGACCATTTTAATTCTTTTAGTGTGTGCACTCTCCAAACATATTACAACCAAAATAGAAAACGTAACGTGTGGTGAAAAGACATGAGAGAATGAATGATGAGGCACACTCTGCAGTTCTAAGAAACAGCAGTGCTAGTAATAGGAAGAAGTCACAGCCAGTCTATGATTGAAGTGATGCATTGAGATACAATCTAAGACACCAATTTCCTTTCAGCAAATGGATTTATTGACGTAATTGATTATAACCATGTACAGCATCTATGCATCTCCCATTGGAAGAATATCCAGTGATAGAGCTAACGTTAGTGTGATACACAGCTTCACTCAATAATCCCCACTGCATTTCTAACAACAAACAGTGGTGTATTCCACAGTCAGTCGTAAATGGCCAAAAGCACCCAGGTGTCCAAAAAAAAAACAGAAATTCAGGATTCTTAACAAAAAATAAAACCTGATCCTGGATTCCTTCAGTTTTAAATTCCACTCAACACTGTGTCTATGAGTTATGAATCTATACACTGACAGTTGAGTTTGGCCCTGATTTTCATGAAAACTACTGCCTGTCAAAATGAAATCCCAAAGCGCTTTTTGCTATTGACTCAAGAACCAAGGACTTTGATTTTCTCCATTTAAAAGGCAAACGATCTCTACACTCTCGTTTCCTCCCATTTGAATTTAAAGACTGAACAGAATTCCCTCAGAACATACAGTCTTTTCTCTCCATTCAGCCACTGAACTCCAATTGAAGGTAACAGTTACTATGGTGTCTTTTGTAAACACTTGTTCATCTGGAAAAAAGAAAAAACAAATAACACACACCCCCCACCCCCCCCCCAAATCCCTTACTTTCAACTATGGTAATAAACAACTTGTAGTCACGAATACCTCGGGTCAGCAATGAATGCATGATATTGAGACAAATGTCTCCACATTCCACTAATACTTCCTTCAAGCCATTCAGTTCCACAAGAGTTCATCTGAGGTTGCACATTAAATTCAAAGGAACAGGAGTAGTATCAATGGTCTCAACAATTTAACAAACTCCATCTAAAACACTTGCATTTAAAATGTAACCCCAGCTCGGGCCTTTTTAATTAGCTCATTTCTAGACCACACAGAGAGAATTATTAATGTAAACTAAACCACCATATTTCATAGTAACAGAACCACATTCTGTAAATATTTAGGAAAGTAAAAGTCCAAGAGAGAGCAACTGATCAGAAAATGATTAGCATTGCTCTAAAACCAAAAGCAGAATTCAAATTAAAAAAAAAAAAAAAAAAACCACAACAAAACAACAAACGGAAACAAAACCAACTCAAACATCACATACTACTGCATAAGGGTTTAACTTTAGCATTACTCACTCAGCTACACAAATCACAGAATCTAGATTAATATACAAAAATGTTTTATTTCACAGTGAGGTACATAAAGCTTCTAACTTTAGTAGGCTAAGGCTAAGAGAGAATCACCTGTTAGGATAAAGACTGTTTCACATTCCTGAAATATTCTCACCGATTATTGTTTCTGAAGAAAGGCACCAGTATTATTTATCCATCAACAGTTCACCTCCGCATCCACCCATTTAGAAATGAAGGTGGATTGTTTGAGGGTCAGTGATCTACTGACCGTCATGGACCCAGACAACTACAGCACACATTACTGTGTACAAGTACCAAGCAGTATTTATTAAAAAAACAATTTAAAAATAGCTCATTTGTAAACATATTACAAAACTGTTAAGTTTTTTCCTAGTGGTGTCAGCAATATACTCCTGTAAAACTAACCAGCTGCATTATCGTTTCCCGTTGACAAAAAAGTATGAAAACACACTCGCTCACATTAAATTGCCCCACATTCCGTTTGACTTAAGATGGCACAGCCTTCAGACTGCCCAGCGCAAAACATACATTTCCAAGCCCTCCAGACGACTCGCAGGTGGCCCACATTTCAACAGTAACGTTAAAAGTCGACCCTCAGTCCAAATTTTTTCTTAGGAAGGGCTGGTGCATTGGAAAGGTCTGTTCAAAGTGTCCTCACGCTGCTCACTGTTATTCCCAGCTGCAGCCCGAGAAAACCACCTGTAAAACACCACACGTGAATTTACAGCTCTGAGTTCGCGTAAGGGAGGCCCCAGCCGCTGCTCGCGGTAGCTCCCGCCGTTTTGCTCTCCGCACGGTTACCGCTACGATCAGGGCTTTTGCTGGGGTTAGTGACCACTGCTGAGAAAACAGCGACCTCCTGGCAAAGGTGGCCGAGTAAGCGCGTCTCGCACGGATGGCATCAGCCCCGGCCTGGGCCAGGCGCGGCTGAAGGCAGCGACGGCAGCCACCGCTCTCCCCGCCGCCGGCAGCCGCTGCCCGGCGGGCTCCGCGCCATCCCCTCAGGGAGCAACGGCCGGCCGCCCCGCCGCCCCCCCCCGGGCCGCGCTGACTACAGCTCCCAGCGGGCCCCGCCGCCCGGCACCGCCCGCCTCCCGCGCGGGGCCTGCCGGGAGCTGTAGTTCGGCGGGCTCAGTCGGCGAAGCGCTGCAGCAGGTGATCGTCGCCGTGGCGGGCGCCGCCGCCGCCGCCGCCGCTGTCCATGAAGCGCTCGCAGGGGAACTCGATGAGGTCGGCCTCGCTGAGGGCGCAGGCGGCGCCGCGGGGCGGCCGGTGGGACTGGAAGCCCGAGAAGTCGGCGGAGACGCCGGTGCCCATGGAGCGGAGGGGCCGGCGGGTGGAGTAGAGCTGCCGCACGTGGACGGGGGCCGCCTTCCGCCGCCGCCGCCCCAGCACCTTCTTCCGCAGCAGGCGGGAGGCCCCGGCGGCCAGCGCCGCGAAGAGCAGCAGCGCGTTCACCGCCAGCAGCACCAGGGTGAGGAGCTGCTGGTCGGGGCCGCGGGGCCCGCCCGCCGCCGCGCCGCCCTCGGGCAGGGTGACCAGCCCGGCGCAGTGGTCCCGCGGCGCCACCGGGCACACGCGGCCGCCGAGGACGCCCTCGACGCAGACGAGGTAAGGGGTGTCCGGGCGGAGCTCCCGCAGGGTGGCGGCCGGCTCCCCGCGCTCCGGCAGGTAGACGAAACGCTGGAACTTGACGGCGGCGCCGAAGCGGTCGAAGAGGAGGCGGAACCGCGCCGGCCCCAGCAGGCGGGGGCTGCGGTGCGGCCGCACGGCCCAGCGCACCGTCACCGAGCTGGAGCCCACCGCCTCCACCGACAGGTTGCAGAGGAACCGCTTGTTGAAGTCGCACGGGTCGGACACCAGCGGCGGTACCCCGGCGGCCGGCACCGAGCGAGGCTTACCGGCCCGCCGGGGCCACGCCGCGCTGGGCGGTGCCGGCCCGGAGGCCGCCGGGCGGGCGGGCGGCTCCGGCGTGGGGCTGGCCGCCTCCGCCGCGGCCTTCGCCGCCGCCGCCGCCGCCGCGCCTTCGGGCGCCCCCAGCAGACGGGCGGTGGAGGCGGAGGGCGGCGGCCCCGGGGGCCCGCGGGGCAGCCCGCCGCCGCCGCTGCTGCTGTTGCCGCCGAGCCCCTCGGCGGGCGGCGGGGGGGACGGGGAGGAGGGAGAGGCACCGTCGCGGCAGGGGCCGCCGTCTTGCGGCGGCGGGAGCTGCGCGTCCTGCAGGTAGTCGAGGTACTTGCCGGCCAGGGTGGGCGGCAGGCGGCACTGCACGAAGACGGTGAGCAGGCGGCCCTGCGAGTGCCAGGCCCCCAGCCAGTGCTTGAGGCCGCGGAGGCGGCAGTCGCAGCTCCAGGCGTTCCCCTCCAGCTCCAGGCGGTAGAGAGCCGGGCTGGAGGCGAAGAGCTCGCCGGGGAGAGTGACCAGCGCGTTGTCCCGCAGGCTCAGCTCCCGCAAGCGACCGAGGCGGCCAAAGGTTGTGGGGTGCAGGGCGGTCAGCGCGTTGCGGCTCAGATCCAGCGCCTCCAGGCTGCTTAGCGGCTCCAGCAGGGCAGCGGGCAGGTGGCTCAGCAGGTTTCCCTCCAGGCGCAGCTCCTTCAGCGCGCCCAGCCCCGTGAAGGCATCTGGGGCCAGGTGAGCCAGGCGGTTTCCACTGAGCGAGAGCTTTGCCAGGCTGGGCAGGTGCTGGAAGAGCCCCCCCGTCAGCTGCTGCAGGCTGTTGCCGGCCAGCAGCAGGGTGTGGAGGGAGCGCAGCGGCCCAAAGATGTCTGGGTGGCGAAGGGAGCTCTGCTGGTTCCCTGAGAGGTCGAGGAAGCGCAGCTTAGCCAGGCCGGTGAAGGCACCACGGCTCAACCAGCGGATGCGGTTGGACTCCAAGTGCAGATAGAGTAAGTTCGGCAGCCCTGAGAAGGTGGAGTCGCCCAGCGAGCCCAGCTCGTTGCCATCCAGACGCAGCTTGACAAGGCTACCGAGGCCGGAGAAGGAGGCGGCGCTGAGGCGGCCGATCTCATTGCCGTTCACGTAGAGGATGCGCAGCTTGGCCAGGGCACTGAGGGTGCCGGGGACCAGCGCCGGCAGCAGGTTGTTGCCCAGGTAGAGTTCCTCCAGCCGACCCAGGCGCTCAAACGCCTTGGGATGCAGCGAGCGGATCCGGTTGTACTGCAGGTCCAGGCGCTGGAGGCCTGCCAGGCGCTGGAAGTCGAGGGCGGAGATGTTGGCGATGAAGTTGCCCCCGAGGCTGTAGGTGAGGATATCCTGAGGCTCGGCAGCCTTGGGTACCGAGCGCAGGCCCCGGTTGGTGCAGAGGAGGTGCTGGTGCTGCTGGCAGTCACACGGCTCCGGGCAGATGGGCTCGGCCGCGGGCAGCAGCAGGAGGAAGAGGGGGACGGAGCCCCAAAGCACCCGCGGCAGCACCATCAGGCGGACCCGGCGCGGCGCCCCCATCCCGGGACGAGCCGTGGGCTGCTTCCCCCGCCGGCTTTGTGTCTCTCCGGCATCCCCCCACCGCCACCGCCTCCTCCGCGGCTGCTAATCGGCCCCTCCTCTGCTCCGCGCCGGGTTGAGCTCCGCGCCGGGCAGGGTCGCGGTACTCGGTACCATCGGCTCGCCCGAGCCGGCCGGGCTCTCTCGCCCCTCCCGGCCCGCAGGCTGCGGTTCGGCGGCCCCGGGGCCGGTGGTGGCGGGGGGGGGGGGGTGGGTGGGCGGGGATGCGGGCGGCGAGCTGGGGAGCGGAGCGGAGCGGCTGCCCGCTGCTCCGGCGGCTCTCCCGGGGGCGGAGCGGGGAGGGGGGGGAGCGGGAGCGGCGGGCGGAGCGGGGAGCAGGAGAAAGACGAGCTCCGAAACTTGCCGAGAAAACTCAGCGGAAATTCGTACTTCCCACACTGTGCCCTGGGGGACCGGAGGATCGGATGGAGCGGGGGAGAGGGAGGACGGCGCGGCGGGGGTGCGGGGAGGGGGGGAGGGAGGAAGCCCACGGCCGGTCCTGGCTCGGCTCAGCCCCGGCAGCGAGCAGGGGCGCAAAGTGGGAAAGTAGGAATTGGAACCGGCTGTAGCTGCCTCCCAGCCACATGGGCTGCAGATAGGGCTGCGCATCGGGAGGGGGAAGGGAGCAGAAGTAAACTAGCCGCCCGTCCGACCCCCCCCCTTTTTTTTTTTTTTTTTTTTCTTCCTTCTTTTGCTTGTATTTAGAAAGCTGCCAAAAGCAATAGTTATGGTTTACCACAGATTAAGGACTTTGTTTTGTTTTGAACAAATGGTGATCGGAGGTCTAAACCACCCATGGTACATCAAAGAATTAATTTTCATTCTTTCTCTGCGTTGTCCTGCCCAGTACGTTCCTGACAAAGCTGCAAGTGAAGATGCAGTTGAATATAGCTCCAGGTTCACGAAGGGCTCGTCAGCGTGATTAAGGTGCTTTTTAAAAATCATTCCCATTTTAAAGAATCTTCCCTCTCAACAGCATACAAATTCAGAGTGAAAGGAAGGTATTGGAAAGCATACTGATAACAAAGTAAGCTGTGTACCCATCCATTCAATGACTTGCCTTTCTTTCTTGTTGGCATTTTTTGTTTTCCTAAGATGTCAGCAGTGGGGTAAATAAGTGTCTACAGGCAGGAGAAAATGCTTAGATATGAAGGGTATAAAAGGCTGTCAAGGATGATCAAAGAAAGAAGACAATGCCCAAAATATAGTGCTGCACATTTAAGAAATACATTGGAAACTGTGTTATCATGTGAAGTTGTATCCAGCTGCTCACACTTTGCATACACTTCTGGACTAAAGAAGTGTACAAGCTACGTTACTTTTTTTCACCAGAAGGCAGAATTTAGATAGCTTTCATGGAAGCTTTGTTTTTAGCGGCCGTGTCAACATGAGCAGGTAGTGTGGTGTGGTAGTTTGTGCTGAGCCTGTTTGTTTTCACGGAGAGGTGTGACTTTGAGCTAACTCTGATTTGGTCTTGCTTTTTAGCAGTTGAAGAATATGAAGTATGCTCCAAGCCTGCTCTGGAGCATGAAGCACAGTGTTCTATGTGGAGCTGATCAACAGATTTGCTTCAAAAGCACACTCGCAGTCTGAAGAAACCTTGAAGAGAAGGGATAAGGCTTGACTTGTTCAAAGGAACATTGCTGTGAGCCTCTTGATTCTTAGCTCTTGTAGTTGGCTGAGGCTGGGCTACAGTTATCTGCAGAAGAGGAATCCTTTTGTTGTGGTAGCTGCATTGTGCTGGTGTAGGAAGTCATATTTGGGGCAAGAGAGTGATACTTTAGATAATCTGGATGAATTTTGCAAATATCTTCTAAAATTAAGTTAGCAGCTCTGAATTATAACTTGCTCATTGAGAAAACCCAGTGTGAACAATAATGTGCTGGAATATGGTTATGGCAGGGTGAGCTCATGGAAGAGGATCATGAGATTTAAAGCTAAAGATTTTTTTTTTTGTCTGAAAAATGACAGTTGTGTAGGCAGGCTTGATAAACTTAGGCACTTCTACCCAAAAATCCACTTATAAGGAAAGGCATCAGAGTATCGCATCAAAAATTTGGAAGCAAAAATGGTGGAAATGAGAGTTGTCAGATTCCACAACTTGCTGACTTCTGCAGACATGTGCTATTTTGTTATCAAACAAGCATGTTCTTAGATTAACTTGATTTAAAATTGTGTCTTAAATTGTTGCTGCATTGTTTTCTGAGGGTGGACAGAAGTTTGTCTGCTTCTTGAGTGAAGTGGAAAGTTTCTGTTTCAATTATTTGTACATGCTTGATTAGTAAGATGGGGGGGGGGTTCCTGAAATAAATCTGGGTAAGTTTCACAGGAGGAACTTTTTGCTGATGTTTGTTTTTTTGTTTTTGTTTTTTTTTTTTTTTCCCCTGGGTTATGAAAGAAGCCCGTCCAGCATCCATTCATGATTCGAATGTCCATGGCTTAAGAATCCAGACGTTTGAGCTCAGTCTCTTCCTTATTGAATATGGTTTTACTTGCTAGCTCTTTCTTTTCAGTATCTATCACATCATGTTGAATACTCAGGACAAAGTAGAGGGATTTTTTTCAACCTACAAAGACTGTGTATTTCTTTCCTCATTCTTAAAGCCACTACAGTGCGAGGGAAGACATCTCGGCTCTCAAAGTTTTCATCAATTCTGAGCAAAGCCTAATTGACTAGTGACTCTTCCCCCCAACAAATTTGCTTCACTGTGGTGTACTTTAGATACTGAAATTTTAGAAAACAGTTCTGTATAATAGTGTGCTTGTTTTTTGTTCCTTTGGGTTTTTCTTTTGAAACATGCTTAAGCTTATAAGGGCAATTTATAAACTGTCCTTCCTGTAGAAGTACCCTAGGTCTTTTCATAGTCATGCATCGTTGCAGATACTAAAGGTTTAAGTCAAATTGTGTCTTATGTATTGCTTGTGACATATGCTTTCTGGTACTTAGCCAACATTGTGATTTTCACTGGGTTAGGGGAATTCTAAGTGACAGAAATTTAATAAAAAAATTTTACTAGTGATTCTTAAGAAGAGAATGCATCATACACTTGTTCTCAGACTGGAAATATTTTATACCAGAAACAAAATAAACAAATACAGCGGGGTTTTTGATGATTTTTTTTTTTTTAATTAAAATCGGAAGTTAGTATTCAAAATACATTAGGAACACATCTGTTCAGATAAAAGATGCACATTTATTTTCCCACTTTGGAACAGGAACTTTGCAGCTGCAGTAGTTCTTGTTTCCTTATCCAAGCACACCATAAAATTTTGTATGCATGATTGAGAAATAGTGATGTTTTTTACCCTGAACTGAAAAAGCATAAGTCTGACTATGGAAAATGGGGCAGGGAGAATTAAAAAGTAGCCTATTCTTAAAGCTTTAGAGGTTATCTTAAAGTACACCTTCATGCTTAAGATTTGAAATATGAGGACTTTTAAGGGCCAAGAATACCTAGCAAAACATGAAATACCATCTTTTCACAGATACATATTTATTCCTATGATGATTGTGAGAGAACTGACTCTAAAGAAGGTATTGTTTTATGGCTAAATAGTATCCATATGTTTGTTATACCAAAGACCAAATACCTCGATGGTTTTCTTCTTTTTGTTTTCAGGAAATGTTATCTAGGCACTGGTCAGAGGACTGGTGGTTGAAAGTGGTGAATACATATTTTTAGACAGAATGCAAAATGGAGTGAAAGAAGCAGCATGCTCAGTGTAGCCTATTCAAGTGTATACTGGGACTGTAGCAATATCCCCATGAAAAACTTCAATTAAACAAAATTACTCCTTCTTGATTCTAGAATAAGAGGACTGGTGCTGAACCGGTAGGGTTAAGGGCTGATATCTCATAGCTTTATGTAGTTACCAGAAATGGTAGCTAGTTATGTGGAACTGGAGCTTTACCTCGAAAGAGGAATTTTTCATTGGTCTATGCAGTTCTTCTGCCCACTGCATATCATGTGTGTTTTCATCTGAATTTATACAAAATCTGTCTAGAAGTGTTAAGTTTAAACTTTATTTCTCACTGAGCCAGCTGGCCTCATAGCAACTTCAAACTAGTCAACTTTAGTGTCAGAATTCCCATTTAAAACAAGACAAAAAGCTTCTCTAAGTTGATATAGCAACATGTTTAGTTGGTTACAATATAAAAACTTAATTTGTAGTTATTTGACTTACACTGTCTTTGGAGGTTGTGGCATACATCGTTACTCCGCGAGTCATGCTAAGTTCCCCCCAAGTAAGCATACAGAAAAACAAAGATACTACACCATTCCAGTTTTACAGCTGATAAAGTGTCACTGTATGAATTAATACTTTCATATCTTTGCTTTTTGAAGAGAGAAGAATATTGTGGAGCACCGCAAAGTATTAACAAAACAGTTTGTACACCATCAGTGGCTTTGTTAGCAGCTCATGGATTACAGCATCTTTTAAGAGGTCACCAGTTTTGGTGTTATTCTATAAGTCAGTGGCCGTGATGCAAATACCATAGCATAGGAAAATAGGAGAATTGTAGTGCCAAGTGTGCTGATTATTTTTTTCTTTTGGAATTGCACAAACAGTTCTCTTATGTTGTATAGTTTATGTTGGTTGCACTTACTGTAGTAATTAACGTTTTAAATAAATCTTTTCTGATACGTTGGTTTGTGCTCATCTGTAATGAAAAGTCACTCGCCACATCTGGTTCTTAAGAAATAAAGCACGACTCCCAGGCTAGCAGTTAATATTACGTGCCTGTTCTGCTCCACGGAACGAAAGCTACCAGATGTTTGATAGATATCTGGTCCCATCATCCGTAGAGGTCTGTGGCCTACAAGTCTCTGCTGATTGCACATATCTTTATATCTTTTCAGAATTAAACATCTGAGTAAAGTATTTGTGGTTTTTTGACATATGATGCTAGTCTAGACATGCTTTTACCATTGTGTGCATGCTCTGTCAAACAGTCAAAACCCACTGAATTTCACATGGTGTAGGTTGTGCCTCTTAGACTTCCTCTGGGCAGGCGGATGCAGGACTTCATGTTGATTACAGCAGTTGGTTCCTTTGTGCATATTACTTTACTGCCAAAGCAATTTCAAAGCTGTTTTTTTTTTGTGTTTCAGTGTGTAGACTGTGAAACAAATTGTAGCTGTATCCACAGGTAACGATGTATTCATGTGTTCTGTCTGCAAGTATAAATCGGCTAGTTCAATCCATAGAATTAAATGCAAAGCAAATAATGGATGTTGTTGCTATAATATTAGTATTTCACAACAATAAATGGAGAGTTAGATATGTATATTATTCTGTGAAGTGATCTCTGCCAGTGTGGATCACTTACAAATTAGCTTTCATCAGCTAGACTGGCTGAATCGTACTTGCAGAGGTCTAACTAATGCTTTAGCTGGTATATTTTTCTTTATCCAACATTTATTTCCTGAAGGAGAAACTGTTTAATAGAAGCACATACTTTGTGTAGTTCAACATCTGTGATGGTAAGAAAGGAGAGAACCCTACTCGTGTCAGAATAAGAGTGGTGTAATTTATGTAAAACAAATGCTTATGTGGCTTATGCAGGGCCAATTAGTTGTTGCAGTGTCTGCAATTCTTTCGCATGATTATCTGTTTATATACTGAATCTTTGCAGTATTGTTAGACCCATTTTTCCATAATGGGGTAACAAACCAGGCAAGTGTTCTCGCAAACATTTTCTTCTTTTCTTTCTCCATAAAAGGATAGATGTACTTATGGCAATCTCTTTCATAAGGGGTAATATTCTCTTGTCATGTTTTCAGTGTGATAGATGCTCTTTTCTATTCCTGTCATCCGGTAGAGCCTGTAGCAGAAAAATGCTAAAACAAAATACCACTTGGACCAGAACTTCTAGTACTAATTGGTAAGACGTGTTCTGATAGTTACGCAGAAAAATAGAAAACGCTCACAGTTTGTTGCCGTTGACCTATCTCAGGTTAGAAAGGGAGTGCTCAGTGTCAGCTTCCCGACTACATCTGGTTGCTCTGGGCTCTGTTAACTCTGTGAGGATGGAGCTGTCATCACAGTGCCTCCCATTAGGTACCTGAAGGCAGCAAAGCTGTCTTACAGCTAAACAAATCCTTTTCTTTCAGTCAGTTGTCATACATTGACATGCTTCAGCCTCATGATCATCTGTGACGCTCCACCGGACTTGCTTCGATATGTCAATTATGTTCTTGTATTGGGGCAGCCAAAACCCAATAGCTAAAACCCCAGGGCCACAAAGATGATTAAGTTTAGCCTAGAGAAGAGAAGGCTCAGGGGGGATCTCATCAATGGATATTAATACCTGAGGGGAGGGTGCAAAGAGGACAGAGCCAGGCTCTTTTCAGTGGTGCCCAGTGACAGGACAAGAGACGGTGAGTACAAGCTGAAACGCAGGAGGTTCTGTCTGAACAGTAAGAAACACTTTTTCACTGTGAGGGTGACTGAGCGCTGGCACAGGTTGCCCAGGGTGGTTGTGGAGTCTCTTTCCTTGGAGATATTCCAAAGCCATCTGGACACGGTCCTGGGCGGCCTGCTCTAGGTGGCCCTGCTGGAGCAGGGGGCTTGGACCAGACGACCTCCTAAGGTCTCTTCCAACCTCAACCACTCTGGTATTCTAAAGCTGGGCACAGCACTTCCACGTGCTCACAGGTGCTTAATAAAGGGGACTAATCACTGATTTACTGGCTACGCCCTTGCTAATCCAGCCCAGCATGCAGTTGGCCTTTGCTGGAAGGGCCCACTGCTAACTCATGCTTGTTTTGTTGTCTGTGAGGTCTCCCATGTCATTTACAACAAAGCTGCTTCTTGGCCATCTTAGATTGTACCGCTGCATGGTGGTTATACTGTCTCATGTGCAGGACTTTGCATTTGTCTTTGTTCAATTTCAGGAGGTTTCAGTCGTCTCTTTCATCTAGCCAGTTGAGGCCCCTGTGAAAATCTGTTTTGCCCTCCAGCATATCAGGTGCTTCCCCACGTGTTATCATCCATGAAGCTGCAGAGTGTGCACTCTGTCCCACTGTGCCACTTGTTAATAAGGGTGTCAAAGAGTATTAAATGATGTTAAAGAGTGAGTAAAGACCCACTTTTGTTACTTGGGGGATGCCTGTAGTAACTGGCTGGCGGTTAGACAGAGTGTTACTGTTCAGAACCCAATGTGTCTGAGACTCCAACTGATTTTCCATCCACTTTATCCACTTATTTAGCCTGTATCTCACTGATTTTGCTATAGTAATATTGCAGAGCACTGTTGAAGGCTTTGCTAAAATCAAAGTAAACATCATATTTTATCTCCCTTTGTCCACTGAGCCAGTCGTGTTGTCGCTAAAGGCGTTTAGGCTGGTTAGACCCAGTTTGTCCTTGATGAATCCACATTGGGTGTTTTCAGCCCTTTTTTTGTCCTTAATGTCCTCAGAAATTACATCCTGGAGGACTTACTCCATAACTCTCCTGGGAGCAGAAGCAAGGCTGCGTGTCCTGCAGTGGTCTGGATCTTCATTGCTCTCCTTGAAGATGGCCTTTTTCCAGCCATTGGGAACCTCTCACAACTTCCATCATCTTCTGAAGATAGTAGAGAGCAGCCTTGCTATGAAATCAGCCACCTCAGGTGCAGCCGATCTGGGCCCATGGACTTGTATATATCCGGTTAGCTTTAGTGGTTCCTGATTTGATCATTGTTGTGGGTAACGCTGTGCTCCCACAGACTCTGCTTCTAAGATGAAGGAGCTGGGACACCCAAGAAAAAAACCTTACCAATAAAAACAGAGGCACAAAGGTTTTTAATACCTCAGACTTTTCCATTTCTTTTATCACTATGTCCCCTGCCCTGTTAAGCAGTGGTCTCACCTCTCCTTTAGTCTTTTTCTTTTTTGCTGCCTTTCTCATTTTTGCTTTTCACATCTCTAGCTAGTTTTGGTTTCAGCTGAGCTTTGGCTCTCATGTCTGCGCCCCTACATGCTCTTTCTCCAAGTAGTCTGTTTCTGTGTCCATCTTCTTGTGGTCATCTGCCATACTTGCTTCTTTTCCTGAGTGCCAGAAAGGACCATTCTTGTTCTTTGATAAGGCTGTCCTTGAAAATCAGCTAGCTCTTCTGGGCCCTGTTGTCCTTCATGGCAGTATTCCATAGGTCCTGCCAAGCAGATCCCCTGAACAAGGCAAGATCAGCTTTCTTGAAGGCCAGGGTTGTACTTTTCATAATTTATCTTGCTCACTTGACTCAGGATTTTAAACTCCACAATGTTACAGTCATTGCAGCCAAGATTCCCCTCAACTTTCAGAACCCCAGCTGGTTCTTGATTGTTCATGGAAGCAGGTCCAACAGAGCAGCTACTTAGCTTGTCAGTCACCTGTATCAAAAGGTTGTCATCAACACACTTCATCAACATGTGCTCTCAGCTCCCGTTCCATAATTAGTATACATGAGTCTGAAATAGTTGAAAACTATGTGTTAGACCCCGAACTGGAGTGACTCAGCCTACCATTGATGTTAATAGAGCTGTGTGCTCATGTGCTTTCATCCAAAGATCTGTTCCCAAATCCTAGATGGTTTTTTAAGAAATCATTTAAGCACGTGACTAAGTTTTGATTAGGAAGACTGACTGGATCATCAGGCTTAGTCATCTGCTTTCACAGTATGTCATATGAGTGCATTCACATCTTTTTGAGGAAGTTGTTTCAGGGTTTTTTGCTCCTTTTGCTGCTACTGGAAGCATCTTTGAGAACATTGTGGCTGTAGTAGGCAACCTTCTAATTTCTGATATAACTTCTTCCTGTTTAGTATACATTTTTTCTTGGGGGTCTAAATTATCCCTTAATGTAAAATACCTGTCTTTTGGCATTTAGTGTTCTGATATTACAGAGAGCCCAATCTTACCCCTTCAGGCTGTTTTGCTGTGATAAACAATCCAAGCTGGTTTAAGCTGCCATAGACAGATAGACTCTTGATTCCCCTGTAGATGCCAGTGTCTCATTTCTGTTTTAATTATTCTTTCTTGGATATGAGTGATAGAAATCTACACCCAGCTTCAGATAAAGTCTCTTTGGTGCCTGAAGAGAGTTTCATATGCTTAAGATTATGCTTTGTTTGAAATCACTTAAGGCTGTTTCATTCAACTCTCTTCACTAACTTGTACGTTTGTATCATATGTCAACAGTGACATCTCTAGATTTAATTGAAAAATCTGTAAAATTTTGCCACTGATTCTTAATACATTTTTGATATATATGGTGATATGCGTCGCTAAGAGTCATAGTTTTTAGTGAAAATGGACAATAAGGCAGTATTACATAATCCTTCAATCTTAAGCACTGAGCATGTCTATATAAATTGACCTGTAGATATATATGTATTTAGGGGGGCAGACATAAACATTCTGTCTTTCTCTTAACACTGCAGACAGTGAGCCTTTGAAGCAGAGAAATACATATTTTTAGTCTTGTATTGGGAATTGCTCTGTGCAGCCACATCATTTGTGTAAGTACCTTGATAAAGTGTTTGTAGAGTTTTTCAAAACATTTACTAATTAAAATGAGAGGACCTAGAAAAATGAAGTAGAAGCAAAAGCATTGTAGCCCTTGCATTCTTTTATTTTTATAAATATTTGCATTTTGATTACAGTGTA